GGGGTGACGGGGTGACGGGGCGATACGGATCCACGTGAAATTCATCTGACTGAAGCCTGAAGGAGCTCGGGGCCCCTGGCTGGCGCTCCCGGGCGCCGTTTGGGATTTACCTGCAGCCGGAGCCAGGTGTCCTTCGCTAGCTGACGGGAGGGCGCGGCCGGTGTCCTCCGGCCTTCACCTCGCTCCTGTTAAATACCAGGAGTTGTTACTGTTATTATTACAGAGATACATAGACGCGTGTGTGTGTCTGAGAGGCTCAAAAGTTGCGCAGGTGAAAAGCGAAAGTGGAAATTTTAAGGGAGTTTCCCGGCGTTTCGCTTTCGTTTTTGAGCCGCCCGGCGAACGGGCCTCTGCTTTCGGGGGGCGGGGGCCGCAGCGCCCGGGGCCGGGAGGGGCTGTCTCGGAGCCCCCTCCCCGGGCCGGGCTTGAGCCCTGCGCCCTCGCGTGTAACGGAAGCTTGGCTGAAGCTCCACCAAGCGGTTTCATCTTCCCCTGAACTTTGACGGGGGGCGGCCTGGGCCGTCCCCGGCTGCGTGTTTGCTCGTGGGTGGGGTGCGGGAAGGGAGAGGCCTTGGGCTTTGGGTCAGGCAGGCGGTGACCTGGGTGGGGTGGCCCTGGGCCCGGCGTTCAGTGCCTTCCGGAGGGCAGGAGGCGGCCGGGCTCCAGCGAGCAGCCCGGGGGATGACCCCTCCCCGGCGGCATGTTAGTCCCTGAGTTTCTGAAAGTGTTTCGAGTTAGGGAGCTGGCTCTTGGTCGGGTAAATCGTTGGCATTTGTAAAGCGAACGCACACGTGGGTGCTAATGCACGCTGCTTCCGTGGTGCGGGAGACCTGGGGTCCTCTCCAGGTCACCTCGCTGGGCCCCACAGGGCCACCCCGGGGACCTGTCGGCTCCCCGCTCACCTGCCTCCTCCCTGTGCTGACCACCCTCCTTCTCGCCTCAGAACTGATACAAAGCCCATTTGCCGTTTCTTTGAAAATACTTGTTTATGGGATACGCTTAAAAATCAAACCTGATTGTAAAAATCAGGCACATTGGGGCCCTGGCCGGTGTGGCTCAGTGGGTTGGAGTGTCGCCCTGTGCACCAAAAGGTGGCGGGGTCGATTCCCACACGCCTAGGCCGTGGGCTCCATCCGGGTTCTGAGGCCACGGACTGAGGTTTCTCTCTCCCTTCCACCCTGCCCCTCCCTTCCACTTCCTCTCGCTCCCCCTTCTCCCCTCTCTAAAGTCGACAAAACAAATCGTTGGGTAAGGGTTAAATTAAAAAAAAAGAAATCAACCCTGGCCTGTGTGGCTCAGTTGGCTGGGGCTGGCCCTGGCCCTGGCCCTGGTCCTTGCCCTGGCCCTTGTCCCCGTCCCGGTCCCGGTCCTGGCCCTGGCCCTGTGGGTGGAGCGAGGAAAAGGAGAAGCTGCTGGTTCCGCCAGGCCAGGTGCCCAGATTGCAGGCTGACCCCCAGTAGGGGGTGCGGAGGGGGCAGCTGCTGATGTTCCGCTCTCACATCAGTGTTTCTCTTTTTCTCCCTCCTTCTCTAAAAATCAGTAAACTTAAAAAAAAAAAAAAAAAAAAAAATCAGGTGAATTGGGCTTTGGGGAGTGTGGGATACGGGCCGTGAACAGGAAAAAAAAGTTATTTATCTAGGTTACATTAACTCCTATTTTTTCACTCTGTGGAATTAGCCTTCATCCTCAGTACCTAATAGCTTTCTAGTTTCCTCACTGCTTTTCTTACCTGGCTGCACCACCCCTTTCAGCTGTCTCTCAGCCCCGGCAGCCTTGCCCACCCTCTGAACTGCCTTGTTCCTGAGGTCCCAGGAGCCAGCTCCCTTGCTGGCAGGTGCTTTGGGAGAGAGCAGGTTCGTACACAGGACAGAGAAGCAGCAAGGGATCTGCCCGATGTAGGCAGAAGTCCCGGTGCCAGCTGTGCTGCCTAGTTTTGTGGCGTTGGCTGGGCTGTTTTACAGACCTGGGGCCTGGGTTTTCTCAGTTGTAAAATGGTGGCCCAACCAGTCGGTGTTGACTGTGTAGATCTGCTATTATGTTGTCACAAAATATCGTGCCTTGCTTTTCCAGTATTGTAAGTACTGAATTTTTAATTTTTAATTCAGATATAGAGAATATTTATTATTGATAGTTCACAATTCAAGCTAATTTTTCTTTTTTTTTTCCCCTAAAATTAACCTTTTTTAAAAAAATTTTTTTTATATCTTCATTGATTTCAGAGAGAGGAAAGGAGAGGGAGAGAGAGAGAGAGAGAGAAACATCAATAATGAGAGAGTCACTGATGGGCTGCCTCCTGCACGCCCCCGACGGGATTGAGCCCGCAACCTGGGCATGTGCCCTGACCGAGAATCGAACCCCGATCGCCTGGATCCTAGGTCGATGTTCAACCACTGAGCCACGTCCAGCCAGGCCAAGCTAATTTTTCTTTGTTTACCTACCAGGGTAGTTGGTATTTGTTTCGTGTTAAACTAGCCAAAATACAAGTGTCTTTTAAGTTCAGTGTTGAGTTTCTTAGAAAAGTTCACTACCTTGGGATTCATCTTTCTCTTATCTTTTTTCTTGGATCAGAGAATAATAGGTTAAGAAATAGAAAAGTGTAATAAACCTTGCTACATATTAGCATCTTTGAAATACATATTTTAATGTAATACATAATATATAATTGACTATATAATATATATAACTATATGTGAATATATGGATACTGTTGTTGTTTTTAAGAGAAGTCTGGAGCTAATTAAAACCTAAAAGTAATTTAGATTAAACTGGATTGGGGAAAGTGGAGAGGAGCTACCCTTGTGCTACAAAACACATCAGCACATTAGGTGGTTATAAAACTCTTGAGATGTGGTGTGGGGTATCATTGCCGTACTGTTTTGCTTTCAAGGATGGCGCAAAAGAAGTATCTCCAAGCAAAACTGACCCAGTTTTTAAGGGAAGACAAAATTCAGCTTTGGAAACCTCCATATACAGATGACAATAAAGAAGTTGGTTTGGCATTGAAGGTATTTTTCTTTTAAGACATAGATAATTAGCAGTGTTATAAGTCTCCTTGGTGTCAACATACAAAAGTCCAAACCTGTAGAAAATTAGAGTTTATTTGAGCCAAACAGAGGACAAGCCTGGAAGCAAGATCTCAACCGACTGAGAAAAAGGCTTCTCAGAAGGACTGTTTGCGGTTTCTTATGCACATTTGGAATTAAGGAGGGAATTTAAGGAAGATTACATGAAATCCAGGGAGAAAGCAGGTGGGGATGGAATTAATGGGTAGTTAACAAGAGTATGTGCTCCCTTGAGGGTGGTTGCATGCTCTCTTCTGAGGAGCCTGAAAGGGGCATTTCAAAAGGTGTGTTAACCTAGATGCACAGAAACAATGGACGAGGCTGGCGGAAGGCAAAGGGAACCTTTCAGTAAAGACATTTTATGCCTGGGGCGTGACTACTCAACATGACCTGTCCAGTTAGGAATTTATGATCAGATCACCCTGTGAGGTTACTTTTGGTTAAATTTTTTACAAAGTCCCTTTTTCGTCCACATTGGTAAGTAGAATTTCTGAAGTCACCAGAAATTGCCAGGCACAACCATGTTTGTAAACTTTGGGCATAACCAAAAGTCCTAGTGATAAGCAGGTGCCCCCTTCTTACCAGGAGTTGACAAGCTTGCTTTTGTTTCATGAGATTTTATTCATATGAGAATGTTACCTGATTTCTGGGGCATATGCTATTTTTAATACCTTCACGGCGTTAACCTGAAGTTACTAATCTGGAGACTACCTTTGACCTGCTAATGTGGCAGTACCAGTGCCCGTGAGTGTGTCATGTGTGCAGGGTGAGTGTCTTGGGTGGGCCTTAGCTCCCTTGCTAGCATTGTCTGCTAGAAAACACTTGTTCCCCTGTCCCAGTTTTTTTTGTTGTTTTTTTTTTTTACACTATGGCTCTGTTCCTTTTTCCAAACTGCTGTGTTTCTAATAATTATGCCTCAGTTTTTCATGGCAGCAGAAATGGCCTTATTTTATATAAGTGAAGTCTCTAGAAATTGAAAATTTTCTGTTTTTCTAAGTTAATAACTTTTGATAGGTATCTCTTCTATTGGAGTGTCCAGCACACACATGCTTTCTGCTTTCTCAGCGTGAGTATCTTGAGATAAATGATTAACATTTATCAGGGACCAAAGATTGTCATGAGGGCGTGAGACTGTCCCGTGTTGTGACACTGTTGCCCTTGGGAGGTGACAACTGTATCAGGGACCAAAGTAGAGTTTCCCTGTCTCTTGTTTCTGACAGGCCTGACTTTTTTTCTTTTTTTTTGCAGTCACCTTCTGACTTTTTTTCTGCATTTGCTGATTATAATCTCTTGGCTCCGAAGTTAGGTGTGGCGTCATAAGAAAGCTATTCAGTTCCTGGCACAGAACTCCTAAAGCCCTGGGAATTTCCCCCGTGGTGAGGGCCATAGGAGCATCTTTTGTTCTAAGGAGGCAGCTCTTGGCAACAGCTTCAGAATGGGGCTGGTCACCAAAAGTCCAAACTGATTAGAAGCTTGGGACTCCTAGCCCCACCCTACAACCTCTGGAAAGAGGGGAGGGGAGAGAGTTGGAGAGCCAGTTAATCACGGAGTGGCCAGTGATTTAATCAATCCTGCCCACATAATGGAACCTCCATAAAAACCCTTAAATGATGGGTTTTGGGGAGCTTCCAGATTGGCAAGCCTATCTACGTGCTGCACCCCAGACCCTTTCAGACTCTGCCTATGTTCCTCTTTATCTAGATGTTCACTTGTTTCCTTCATAATAAACCATAAAGGTAAGTGGAGCATTTCCTTGAGTTCTGTTGAGACATTCTAACAAATGATTATTTTACAAGCAGTTCCAGTGATTCAGAATTTTTTTTTTTTATCCCCACCTGAGGATATTTTTTCCATTGATTTTCGGGGAGAGTGGAAGGGGGAGGGAGAGAGAGAAACATTGATGTGAAAGAGACACATCGATTGGTTGCCTCCTGCACAAGCTTCAACCAGGGCCAGGGATCGAGCCTGCAACCAAGGTATATGCCCTTGGCTGGAATCGAACCTGGGACTCTTCGGTCCCCGGGCCGACGCTTTAATCACTGAGCCCAACCGGCTTAGGCTGATTGAGAATTTTCCATTAAGAAAGTCATTTATGTCTACCCTGACTCGTTCTCACAAGTTAGAAACTTAGAGTGTTTTCTGTGTTTTTCTTTTTCCCCCTCCAGTGGAGTTGATCAGTTTACTATTTCTTTTCTTTTTTTTAAACTTTTTATTTATTGATTTCAGAGAGGGAGAGGGAGAGAGAGAGAGAAACATTAATTTGCTGTTACACTTATTTATGATTCATTGGTTGCTTCTTGTATGTGCCCTGATCGAGGATCGAACCCGAACCTTGGTGTATGGGGATGACACTCCAACCAACTGAGCTACCCGACCAGGGCCATTGCTTAAAATAATTTTTATATATTACAGTCACATAAGTTATAGTCCACTTGTCTTTGCTCCCTAGAATAATCTGAATTATTTTCACTTTTTCTGTTGGATCTGTTTTCCTCTCCTTTATTTGTTTCTGTACCTCTCAAGATAGCAGGCCGGCCTGGATTTCACTATCGTGGGATGACCACCTCTCAGAGATTTTTGCCTTAGAGTCCTGCATGTGCTGTTCCGCATTTTGACCCCTCCCTGCCTTGTTTGGGGTTGCTACTACATGGATCTGTGTTCTCTGGTTTCGCTTCGTAGGACCTTGCTAAGAAGTACTCCAACAAGCTGGAGTGTTGTGAAAATGAAATAGAGAAGATAATAGAAGAAATACGTTGCAAAGCAATCGAGCGTGGCACAGGAAATGAAAAATACAGGACAACGGGGATTGCCACGATTGAGGTGTTTCTACCTGCACGACAAAGAAAAGTGAGTAATTTCCTCATTTACAGATGTACTAATGCCTAGTTAGCTTAGGTGATCAAATAAATTATTTTTTTTTAAAAGCTCTAATCCAAAGTTATTTTCACTGTCTGATTTTTAAATAGGACAGGAAGAACCTCTTGGAAACCCGATTGCACATCACTGGCAGAGAACTGAGGTCTAAGTAAGTATCAGAGAGCCTGGTGCCCTGTGCCCCCAGCCCTTCTGCGTCGTGTCATTGGAGTCTGGTGGCCATCCTGGAAGAGAGAGCAGGCAGGTCTTAGTCTCCTCACTTTATGGAAGGGGAAACAGGCTCTGAGCCTGCAGGCCTTATTCAGGCTCACACTGGTAGTGAAGGACAAGTGAGAACTCCACTCGCATCACTCTCCTTCATTCCTGGTCAAACTTGAGCTCAGGTGGGAACTCCAGGTCCACCACCTAACAGTTACCTGGTACATGTGTGAATCAATGAATGAATGATAGAAATGGGAGACAGCCCGGTGGTCACCAGGTCACTGGCTTTGAGTTTTGTTCGTTAGTGCACTGATAACGTGCTGAGACGTTCAGCAAAGTGTTCTAGCCGATTTCAGGTCGTTGGCCCATCTGTAAAAAGGAAAAACACCTGCCTGTCCCATACTAGTGAAGCCCTAACTTCGGAGGCTGGCCGGTTGTTCCATTCACTGCTGTGTTTTGAGTGGTAGGTGTTTTGAGCACCTCCAGGGCCGGCTGGCCCTGTTTCTGGAGCTGATTTTCCTCATTGTCTTCTTTGGTCTGCAGCAGGGCTTTAGGGACGGGTTCAGGAGGCACCACTCGTTCAGCACACAGGGCAGGAGAGTGTGTGGAGCAGCCCCCATTGCGGCTCCTCCAGGAGGCCCGGGAGGTAGAATGAGCGGATTTTCTCCTGATGCGCAGCTGGGGCCCCGCACACACGGCTCTCCCGCCCCAGAGGCCTCCACTTCATTTGGAAACAAGTAGCAAGACAGCTAGTTTAAAAAGGGACGTTGTCTCTTACACACTGTGAAGCGATGTTTGTGAGTCAGTAGATTGTAATACTGGGTGTTTCCAAGTCAAATGTATAAAATAGCCACCATGGTTAAACTCAATTTAATGGAAAATAACCAGTTTGATTACTTACAGTTTTCACTGCTTTATTTTACAGAATAGCGGAAACGTTTGGATTTCAAGAAAATTATATCAAAATTGTCATAAATAAGAAACAACTTCAACTAGGTATGTTACGGCAGAGAAAGCAGAATTTCAAAATCAAGTCAGTATGGAAATAGTGACTTTCATCTTTGTTGTCTTTCCCTGTTCACAAATTTCTAGTGATTTTATTGGGTATGACTCAGAACCAATTATTTTAGAGTTTACTAAGATAAAAAGGTGCAGCAGCAGGCAGCTTTTCTAGTAAATGCTTATTGTCTGCCCTGTGGTGGTGGTTTATTGGCATCTGTGACTTAGTCTTTGTTAGATTTGTATATTTTATTAATTTTCATAGAGCCGGCTTACGTGGGAGGAACCTGGGTCCTAGCAGATAAGTAGCTTCCTCAGGGCCTCCGAGTTAGGGGCGGGACAGAAGCCAAGGTCTCCGCCCTTAACCGCAACAGCGCGTGCCTTGGCCCGGCCAGGAATCGGGGTCACTCCCCTGCCAGGGCCAGGCAAACCCCTGTGTCACGCTTTCCGCTTTCCTTTCTGCTGCCTCGCGTAGTGCGCTCCCTTGGTGGCCTCGGGTATGTGTGGCTTCCGCTCGATCTCACAAGGAGAGTAAAGACCATGGGAAGGATGTGTTAGCTGTTCTCAGGGGTTGATCGACCCCTGACCCCTGCCCTGCACCCGGGTGGGCCTGGGGCTGGCAGGCGCCGAGGGGGCCATTACCCCGGGGAGGGCTCCTTCCACAGCCCTTCCCACTCACGCAGGGAAGACCCTGGAAGAGCAGGGGGTGACGCACAACGTGAAAGCCATGGTGCTGGAGCTGAAGCAGTCAGAGGAGGACGCCCGGAGGAGCTTCCAGGTCGAGGAGGAAGAGCAGAGCGAGGCCGACCAGAAGGAGAAGAAGATCCAGAGGACCAAGAGGGGCCTGGAGATCCTGGCCGAGAGAGGTGCGGGCTCGGCTTCCCCGCGGAGCATCGCCTTTCTCACTGGCTCTTATCTCCCTCTCTTCCCCTCCCTCCCTCCTTCCTCCCTTCCTTTCTTGCTAAAAATATTTTTATTGATTTTTTAGAAAGAGAGGAAGGGAGAGAGAGAGAGAAACATTGAGCCCACAACCGGGCCATGTGTCCTGACTGGGAATCGAACCTGCAGCCTTTCAATGCTGGGGATGACACCCAACCTCCTGAGCCACATTGGCCAAGGCTCTCATTGGCCCTTCTTCCCAACAGTCTAGCGTTGTAAATGTCACGGTCATTGCTCTTTAACACTGATTTCATAAAGTTCCCTTTGGCCTTCTTGCAGGTGAGATGGTGGATTCAGAAACCACACCATACCTAGATATAGCTAACCAGACGGGCAGATCCATCAAAATTCCTCCAGCGGAACGAAAAGTGAGTACTTGAGAAATTTACAGCTTGTTCTTGGATTTGCTGTCGAAACAGAGCTGGTTTCCCAGTCATTTATCTTGGAATGCTACAAAGGATCAGAAACAGTTTTCTGTCTCCAGCTTCTAAACAGAGGCTGTAACCACACAATGCACGGTGCATACAGCAGGCTCACCCTGTGATTCCAGGGCAGTGCTGCAAACAGCATGGCCTCACTGTCCTGCAGCAGGGACTGCGAACATTCCTGAGGAATGGGACGCCCTGCCTTTGGCATTGGTTGTTCAGTGTAGTTTATTTTACTAGAGGGCCATGTCCCCTAAGGGATGTCTCAGAATGGGGGCTGGGGGAACTGTGTAGTTTGGGAAAAGAATGACAGGGGATTCCCTGTTCTAGAATTTGGAATAGGTAGGAGGTGGTTTTACCTTGGGACAGGTCCAAGGGGTTCTCTGTGTAGCGGTGCTGTGCAACCTGGACCCTGAGCCAGCCTCTGAGCTGGAGTGCAGTAGCTTTTTACAACAAAGAGCTCTGGTGACTGTGGGTACAGATAATTTTAACTTTTCTATCTTTAAAGGACAGTTTTGAGTAGGTTCATGATATAAATTCTTCTGTTAAAATTGAGGATTAAAGTTAAGCCTTATAAGAGAACTATGTAGTTGCCAGTGGATTGATGTTTGCTTTGTTTTTGTTTTTTAATGTTCGAATTATTTGTCCAGTGCTCTCTTATAGTAAATGATGACATCCAGGTCATTTTGGAAAACCTTTGCAAGACTGAATTATATAAAAATTCAGACCTAAAAATATTAGTGAACTTTAAAAATTTTTGGATCATCTTTTAAAAATTGGAAATATTAGAGTTGACAGATACTTCAGAAAAAACTTGATAAAGAATAGAGTAAAAGAGTAAAACTTGATAAAGAATAAAGAGTAAAACTTGATAAAGAATAAAGTAAAATGAATGTTCCTTTTTATTTTTATTTTTTTCTTTTCGGTGTTTCCTCATTTTACTTTATTTTTTATTTTTTTAAATGGATCTTTATAGTGGAAAGTATTACAGATGCCCCCCCTTTTCCCCCCATTGATCCCCTCCACCCTGCACCCCCCGTCACTCCCAGGCCTTCACCACACTGTTTCTGTGTCCATGGGCTGTGCATATCTGCATAGAAGTTGAATGCTCCTTTTTTAAAAAGCTACAAAGGGCACGAGGATTATGGCTACTTTTTTGTATCTTGAGTCTTAGAGGACACTAGAAATGGATCTAGGTCAGCAGGTACTAAAATAAACTGATGAAAACAAAGGGGGACAGGTGCCAGTTGTGACCATATCAGCCACATTAAATTGAGTACTTGGTTTCAGAGTTTAAATGAAATAAAGCTTTAATTATATTTTCCTTAATTTGGGCTTTTAAATTAGTAGTGATCTTTTTTTTCCTACTTTGATTTCTTTAGACTTAATGTGCTTTTAATATAATATTTTATTATAGTATAAAGTGATGTTTTTAAGTCCCTATTTCTTTCCTAGGCCCTTATGTTAGCTATGGGGTATCATGAGAAGGGCAGAGCTTTCCTGAAAAGAAAAGAATACGAAATAGCCTTGCCTTGTCTTCTGGATGCCGACAGATATTTCTGGTAGGTATCTTTGCATTTGGTGAACATCAGGTTTAAGGAAGATTCCCCCCCCCCCTTTTTTTTAA